TCCCCCATAAATCGAACGGTTACAGTATGTTTTGTATCCCCAAAAATTACTCAACTCAAAACAGCAATTGATAGACATTTCAACAAATATTTGGGTTTGCATCACTCGTTTCATTTTCATATTGAAATTGTGAGGCCAATAAACATCTCCGCTGCGACTCTGTCTAAGAAAAACCCTAATGATTCCCAAATAACTTCAAGTAAAAGTTGGCGATATCAAAGAAACGGGTGAACAAAGGTGTAGCGACTCAGACAGTAATAACATTTAGTAGACATGCAGTCAAGAGTGACGCTAAATGAGTACGCATAACACTTCGAGTCTCATAACTGAGACAAAAAACATGTCCCGGACGCTTTTATCGAATATCTGTAGTTCTTGGCTGTACGAACAAAACAAGAATATAAATATTGCCAAGAAAAGCTCGTTCGTGGAAAAGCGCTAAAGTTTGTCTAAAAGGTTTTAAATTTCAGAATTTAGACCACCCGTACATAGTCTCAAATGCAAATTAGAATAAAAGGTTTTTTGGGACTAGAAAATATTGGGATCTCACAATTCTAACTCCATTAAGTCATTTCAAATAGGATTTTGCTCAAAGCTCTCTTTAATTGTTCCATCCTATGTCACCCTTAAAAAGATGTTAAAAGATTTTTAAAAGATTGAGCAGCCCGCGTAAAAAAAAACAAACAAACAAACAAAAAAGCAAGCAACCCAGGAAAAATGAGGGCGAGACTCTGTTAGTTTAAAAGTTTTGTATTCAAATGATGGTCATTAATAGCTTTTAGGACCTGTTGTGTCTCTCGTTTAAAAACAAACTATACATGCACTTGTGGTGACGAAGGGGTTGGAAGAAACGCGAGAAATTCTTAAATGGCGTAATTTGGGAGCAGCCTACAGCATAAATTTAAGTAACGTAAGGATAAAAAGAACTTGAACACGTTAGATGACAAAAATGCACCTGTCAAATTTGCAGCGTCATTGACTTAAATGAACTTCACAATCGGCGAATTGTTTGTGTTATGCTTAGAGGTAAATGGTTAAAATTTTTCTGCAAATTCGTCAGTTTGTTCGCAGTTTCCGTAAAATGTTGCTAGATTTACTTGCCCTGATCCTGAGCTTAAATTCCAATTGTAGCTTCATTTGAACCCTCAAGTTTTAATGTCTTTCTCGACTAATGGAATCTTGTTTACTTTTAACAAATGAATTGCATCGCAAATCATCAATATTTGCTCGAAGTTTCCAGACTAAAATTATACAACTGTGGACAAATGGCACGGACGATTTGACGTTCTTCGAGTTTAATTATATTTCCTGAGCTAACGGATGAGTGTCTTTTGTTATGGATAATGGATAAATATGAGGGATATGTTATCAAAACACTCCTAAGAGCTGATTTTAAAGTAGCTTCGTAAGTCTGTATTCAAAATTTATCAAATCCTAATTCGTGCCTCACAGCTAGTAATTTATACCGATTGAATTTCAACTTATAATTAATAAAACAAGTATCTTCGCCATTGGTTGGCAAACATCGCAAACAGAAAAATTATATTACTTAAATTCCGGCCCGAATTCTGCTGAATTCATTGCTTCTGAGGAGCCAAACAGAAACGATGAGGTTCTCTTTTAAGGTTAATTATTACACATTGGCTTAAAGCAAACGTTTGGTATCTTAATCATAGTTATAATACTTTGATGAAAGAGAGCAATTTTAACTCGGCGGCAATCATATGATTGAGGACCGCATTTCTTATATTTATCAGCTCTAGTGTTACGTGTATATATCTATATATATATATATATATATAACTAATTTTTCATACGACTTTTTGATTACTGAACTGTTTTTTTAGATAAAGGAGAAGTAACACACACTAACAGATACTTGTCTGACAGAAGATATATATAAAACCGCAGCTACTTGAAGATTACTAAGCCAATTTGGTAAGGCTATCCTCGCAAGTTAACTACACTAGATAAGCAGATCAAAGGTATCATTCCACAAAAGCTGAGAGAAGCTAAAAAACCTCAGATATTCTGATACAACTTTTAAGTTGTACTTAACATTTTTTTTTTGACATTCCAACTAGCATCCTGTCGAGCTGCTATGAAGTTTTCTCGCGAAGTTTCAGGCGGGCCATTAGTCAGTGCATGACATTTATTATAAATTTTATTTTTACTCATTAGGTAGGTATACAGTTTTTCAAAGTTAGCTGTAACTAGGCGGGAATTAAACATGTACTTATGGTGTCTTACCCTCAATATTTGCAGATTAAATGCAAGTAAAAGGTATGTTGTGGATATTCCAAAATTTAAGATTCCTCCTCTTCGCCTCTGCCATGGAGTTTGTCACAGCTGACGATCAATGTAGGAACAATGTATACATAGAAGGGATGGCTCTCAGGTGTTCGGTCTTCAAAAGATGGTCAGTAGCGGCTCCTCACCTCTGCGATGTCAAATGCGGACAAGAGATCACATGCCAAAGTTATAACTACAATCAAAAATACCAAATATGTGAACTAAATAACCGCACCAAGGAGGCGAGACCAGAGAATTTCCTTTCAGCTCCCGCGTGGTTTTACATCCGGCGATTGAACGGCAGAGGTAAGAAAGTGATTCTAAGTGATTCCTATTTCTTTAAATCTTCTCCATCCTCAGCCTGATTCCTTCTCACCCGGAAGAACTAAGAAAAGGAAGTGAACGTAAAACATATCTTTACTTCAGCTCCATTAGGTTCTATCCCTGAATTACCAGCGCTGTCTTGTCGGGAAATAAAGGCAAGTGAAGGTAAACACACCATAAGCGGCAAGTATTGGCTCGATCCAACTGGGAAAGGAAAGGCAAAACTGATTTACTGTAATATGGTTAACGAAGGTAGGTCCTATGAGTTTGAATGAGTTATTTTATGTTGTAACGAGTTATAGGTATCATGAAATTATTATAAATTATACTATTATTGATATCATCATCGTAATATTTGGTTTGGATCAGTTCTATGGAGGATGTCTCTCTCAAGTTGCTCTAACTTAGTCACTGCTTCTCTTTCCACATTCTAGATATGGACGAATGTAAATTTAACATCAGTGACTGCGACGTGAATGCAAACTGTACTAACACGTATGGTTCTTACAAATGCACATGTAAAGTGGGATACACTGGCGATGGACACTCATGTTCAGGTAATTTTGAAGATTACCTTATTAATATTTCTAAATAAAACTAATTTTTGTAAATCGTCTCATAATTTAGAGCAGCGCTACCCATGCACGCATTTATGCACAGAGTTACCATGATCTACATCTTGCTTGTTTCAGAATAGTCAGGTTGATAAATTTAACTATTTGTGCTGAAATTTATGTAGCACTAAAAGAGAAACATTTGTTTTATAATTTGTGATGATTAAAGGAATTAACCGAGTATGAGTCATAAAAACGATAAGATGCAAAAATGTATCGATGATTTTTCAGATATTGACGAGTGTAAAGGAAATCACTCTTGTCACATGAATGCTATCTGCACGAACACAAAAGGATCGTACGTTTGTACTTGTCACCGCGGATATACTGAAAATGGACGCGGCTGCGCAGGTATTTGATGCGTTTCTTTTGTAACCATTTTCATCAGAAAGAAAAGCACTATCATCGTTGTAAAACTTGTTTTGCCATTATACCTTGTATTTAAAAGAGATGAATGTAGACCTGAAGACAATATTGATGATGACACAATTGTTTTAAATAAACATTCAGGGGAAAAAAATCTCAAAACAAGATTAAGGTTTCTAAGTTTATACTCGGCAACTTCTTCCCGATTGCATTTTTTAAAATTTGTTTTAAACATTTTTGAGGATCAAAGGAATTAACCTTGATGCATTTCTTTTGAAACCATTTCCATCAGAAAGAAAAGCACTATCATATTTGCGAGGCTTGTTTTACAAGCATACCTTGTATTGACCCTTTCACTCCTAAGATCTCATTAGTAATTCTGTTTACAGTCTACCATACAATTCTTACGATGTTAGTTCTAAGAATTTGGTATTAAATTAACTGATAATCCTCAAGCTGATATTTTTTCTTATTCTCGTCATTTGTCTGTTTGATATTGTAATGATTTGGTAAGGAGAAATTCTTTCTTGGTCATTAAAGGAAGTTAGGTGGTTAAGTAAACATTCAGTGTAAGTTAAAAAATCTCCACTGGTAAAGGGAGACTTGATAGACAGGCTTACAGGACAGAACAACAGATTTAAACTTGGGGGAACCGAGAAAAAAATCTGGTGAGTGGTTGTGTGAAGCACTTGCGTCTGGAACCACAAGACAACAATACTAGGGTTTCTTACGTTATGTTCGGCAACTTTTTTTCAATTACAGTTTGTTTGTTTTTTTTTGGTTATTTTTATGATTTTACAGATATCAACGAGTGCAAAGGAAATCACTCTTGTCACGTGAATGCTATATGCGTGAACACCCTTGGATCACATGTATGTCAATGTCATGTTGGATATACTGGAAATGGACAAAACTGCACTGGTGAATTTAATTTCTTCTCTACAATATTTTTAATTGTCCTGTATGGATTCCGGCTACGGCGCTGCACCATTCAGCTGCGTTCCAAGACAATTAGATAATTTATTACTCATTACTGGTTTTGATTTAAGCAGTCGTTTCTCGTGTTAAGAACCTCTTAGGTAATGTCCCTGACTTTTAAATGAACAATTTTGGTAAGTAATGCACTGTTATTCTGCTTTTAATGGACTCTAAACAAGTTATTGACAAAGTCATGAAAATAAAATCGCTCGTTTGGCTCTGAACCCTGTGCACATGATAGATATGTACGTGACTTTCCATGGCGCTACGTTTTCGCTGATATATTTGAAAGAAAAAAGTTGAAAATTGTTATCATCAAGTTTTATAAAATAGTCAAGATACTATGAGCGCACTGATTGGTCAAAATTAATTGTTATAGGGGGGAAGTTTCTATAGAAACTTTGGTGCCGCGTCGGTGGGAGAGTATAGCAGGTAATTTAGTTAACAACTGAGTTCAAAATATAAATTGGCCACCGTAAAGAGTAACAAGTGCTAATCAGCCTTTTTACTCTTTACGGTGGCCAATTTACGTTTTCAACCCAGTTGTGGGCACTAAATTACCAACTTTTGATTATGTTTTAAATGATTTAAAAACCTTACACAAACTTTAATGTGATACAGACATGACATTCTCCGTGGATCTTAAAAACCCTAAAAGAATCTCTAACCTTCCAAGATTCCTTTATAAAAAGAGCAGTTATGATCAATCAAACTTATTTGACTTACGCAAGCCAATTGGCCTTATGATTACAAATAATTGGATGATGCTAGTAGGCAGAGAGTTATTACACACTCCTGGGAAATAATTGGGTACTAGCGAATACTTCTGGGCTGGTATCGTTGTGTGGGAGCTGAGGATCAAAAATGTATTTAACGCATTTGGTAGCATCCAGTTGAGCCGGTGAAAACAACTCAGGCTTTGGTGGGCGATTAAAGCAAGAGGAAATGTAATTCTTCATAAAGCTATCATTTCATTTTAGTTCCTTTGTGCATCATCATTCTCTAACCCAAATACATCAAAAACCTGGGTGACGCTAATAGCTAATTTCTAAGCTTATGCTCGGCAACTTCTTCCCAATTGTATTTTTTAAAATATATTATTTTTTATGTTTATCATTTTACAGATGTTAACGAGTGTAAAGGAAATCACTCTTGTCACGTGAATGCTATATGCATGAACACCAAAGGATCTTATGTTTGTACTTGTCACCCCGGATATACTGGAAATGGAAACGACTGCACAGGTACTTGATGTATTTCTTTTGAAACCATTTCCATCAGAAAGAAAAGCACTATCATATTTACGAGACTTGTTTTACCAGCATACCTTGTATTGACCCTTTCACTCCTAACATCTCATTAGTAATTCTGCTTACTGTCTGCCACACAATTCTTACGATGTCAATTCTAAGAATTTGGTATTGAATCAACTGATAATCCCCGAGCTGATATTTTCCCTTATTTTCGTCATTTGTCTGTTTGATATTGTAATGATTTGGTAAGTAGAAATTATTTCTTGGTCATTACTGGGAGGAAGGTGGTTAAGTAAACATTTAGTGCATGGTAAAAAATCTCCACTGGTAAAGGGAGACTTGATAGACAGGCTTACAGGACAGAACAACGGATTTGAACTTGGGGGAACGGAGATAAAAATATGGTGAGTGGTAATGTGAAGTGTTTGCGTCTGGAACTACAAGACAACAAGACTAGGGTTTCTTACGTTATGCTCGGAGACTTTTTTACAATTACAGTTTTTTGTTTTTTTTTTAAGTTATGTTTACGATTTTACAGATATTAACGAGTGCAAAGGAAATCACTCTTGTCACGTGAATGCTACATGCATGAACATCCTTGGATCACATGTTTGTCAATGTCATGCTGGATATACTGGAAATGGACAAAACTGCACAGGTGAATTTAATTTCTTCGCTACAATATTTTTAATAGTCCTGTATGCCTTCCGGCTACAGCGCCGCACCATTTAGCCGCGTTGCAAGACAATTAGGTAATTTATTACTCATTACTGGTTTTGATTTAGGCAGCCATTTCTCATGTTAAGAACCTCTTAGGTAATGTCCCTGACTTTTAAATGAACAATTTTGGTGACTGAGGCGTTGTTCTGCTTTGACATTAACCTTATCACAATGACTGACAGGAGCATGAAAATAAAATCGCTCGTTTGGCTCTGAACCCTGTGCACAGGATGGATATGTCAATGATTTTCCAAGGCCCTACGTTTTCGTTGACACTCAAGATATATTTGAGTGAAAAAGTTGAAAATTATTATCATCAAGTTTTATAAAATAGTCAAGATACTACGAGCGCCCTGATTGGTTAAAAAACAATCGTTGATTGCACCGGTAAACCTGTGGAAAATTGAAGTTTATATATGTTATTAAAGTAACAGACCGCACTTTCTATCGGTTTACCAGCGTAGTAAACGTCTTCAGATGTTGGGAAACCATTCGAAAAAAAAGTAGATCAATCGCCTTCAGCTCGTTCTCACAAAATCCAGCGTGGATTATATCGCCAGGAAACTGAGAGCAAGAGCGATAAATAAAGGGTCTACAAGAACTGCGGTGCTGCGTCGGTGGGAGAGTGCAACAGGGTAATATAGCATTATCAACTGAGTTGATGAGGTAAATTGGCCACCGTAAAGAGTGTTACAGCGAATGCTCGAAACGTCAGCTTTGAAACTCTTTACAGAGGCCAATTTGCATTATCAACTCAGTTGATAAGGTAAGAAAAATAATGGGGAAGGAAAAAAAATCGAAAAGAAATGGTAGGTTGAGTCCTGAAGGGATTGTATATTTTTCTCTGACCTTATCTGACCCTTTTCATAGAACGAAAGGAAACCTTTAGGAGGCAGAGAGAAATTACACACTCTCAAAACCTGGGTGATGCCAATATTAAGAGTAGTTACGCTACACCGTAATTTGGTCCAGTGTTTTGTGACGACCTATCCCCCAAGGGATGGTACGTTTTGTGGGAGCAGCAGGAACAAGCCAGTTGTTTCAGAGCCGATAGCTTGATAAACTGAAATACTCGTGATAAAATATACGTTTCAAATATCTAATTCGTGGAACACAAAAAGAGAAAAAATTGTTTTGTTATGTATGATTATCAAAGTAATCACTCGACTGAGAGTCCGCTCATTTTTAAAGTGACAAACATGATGAAGTGCAAATATATATATGGTTTCTCAGATATTGACGAATGTAAAGGAAATCACTCTTGTCACGTGAATGCTGCCTGCACGAACACCAACGGATCCTATCTTTGTGAATGCCACCCTGGATTTAATGGAAATGGTCAAAACTGCGCAGGTGAATTTAATATCTTTGCTATAATATTTAGATTATTCCTGCTCGAATCTAACCTGAAGCTGCTGAGGTGGCCATATTATTAGTTTTTCATATGTAAATGATACCGGCTGTGCCCTAAGTCTGCCTAGAGCTGTCCTTTAATGCGTTGTCTGAAAAAGGAGCTCAAATTCGGATCCTGATGAGTTTATCTGGATCTCCAATATCACTGTTTTAGTCTCAAAGCCTTAAAGTAGTTAAAGACACGAGAGTTACAATGTTTAATTCTTCTTCGCCTAAAAACACTGTAGGTACATTTAAGCAATTGCTATCTACAATCGAGTGAGTGAATAACAGACCAATAATAGCTTGCATGCTATATCTGTGGATCCATAGCATTAAATAAAGCAATTTTAGCAGGAACTATTGTCCTACCAGTGCTAAGTTTTGTTTTTTAAGCAGCATTACCCATACATGCTTATGCACGGAGTTGCCATGATATTCATACGGTTTGTCTCAGAGCCTTGATGTTAGGAGATATAAAAAAGAACATTGGAGAGGAGAATATAACATCTAAGTTGCACGTTTCAAAAATCAAGCTCGTTAAAGACAAAGAAAGAGAAAGCTTTCTCTTATTATCTGAAATGATTAAAGTAATTACAAATCGTTAGACGACAAAAATAAAGTGCAAAATGTATTTACGGTTTCTCAGATATTAGACTGGTTTAGCAAGAGGACGGGAACGTCATTTCAGAACAGGAAAGCGCGCGGATAATCTGGACACAACTCTATTTCGACTTCCCGTGTTAGCGTTGTCGTTCTCCCCATCAAGTTCAGGACGTCATTTCGCTGAGTTTGAGTGCATTTCATTCGTTCATGGTTAAACGGGAACTCATTGTAAACAACTCCATCGTTGGGTCGCTTGATCTCTACATGTTTCGCCATGACTCCTGCTTAAAAGAGGTGTACTGTCATGATTGAGAAGAATATTCAGTAAACAAGGGAAAAGACGGCGACGATTTCAATTCCAAATTATAATTTACAAAATTATGAAGAAAAACGAGTAGTGCTGAAATCTAGAAGCACGAAACGAAATGACAGCGATACAAATCATAGAAAAAAATATTTAGTGGGCTTCAAAATTTGATAGATGAATCTGCAGACTCGAGACTTAACTGAAATGAAATAATTTCAAAGTTTAATCGCCCATATGGATTCATACTAACAACTCACTTGTAGTAAACTATCCTCGGTTTGTGCTTGTCGTTACACTCTCAAAGAGGATAATTTCGTTGCCCTTCAAGTGGTCTATGAAACCGAAAATTCAAGGCTGATAATGATCCGAAAGAGCCAAGGTTAGGATATTCAAGATATCGTATATAACGTGGACGGTTCGTTGAAACGACTGCTAAGTCACTTTTCAACACAACGCGACGGTGTTCTCGACCCAGTTTTTTCTCGGCATTTTTGCTGCGCGCGCCGTTCTGAAATGACCTTCCCGTCCTCTTGCTAAACCACTCTATTAACGAGTGTAGAGGAAATCATTCATATTACGTGAATGCTACATGCATGAATACCCTTGGATCACATGTATATGAATGTCACCCTTGATATGCTGGAAATGAACAAGCTGCACAGGCGAATTTAATCTCTTTCCGAAATATTCATGACATAACTGACTCCAGCGCCGCACCATTCAGCCGCGTTCACTCATAACTCGTAATATAAGCAGCGGTTTTTCATGAAGGCGATGAAATTTTTATTTTGTTTCCCGCGTTGAAATTAGCAGTAAATTCCTACGAGTTGACTTTCATCCGAAATTCACATCGAGGAGGCATAATTTTATGCTACCTTGTGTAGAAAAACGAATCATTTTTTGATTATGTTTTAAATGATTTAACAACCTTACACGAACTTTTACATGATGCAGACATGAAACTCTCCGTGGAACTAAAAAACCTTCAGGAATCCCAAACCTTTAAAGATTCCCTAATAATAATAATAATAATAATAATAATAATAATAATAGCAGCTATGTTCCTTATTTGCCTCATGCAAACCGATGAATGAGTTGCCAGCAATCGGATCCTTGTGTTTTCGCAAAGATTTCTGGGAACGCCACGGGGCAAACATTACAACTCTCTAGAAATAAATGCATGGCGAAAGGCTGTTTCGAGGTCCAAAGAAACGTTTACGAAGAGAGATCACCGCTTTTTTTGCCGCTGCTTTATCATAATTGGAGTGGGTAATGTTGATTCAAGGGAAGCGTAAGTTTTGTTTGAACAACCATGAAATATGAAGTAAAATGAGCCGATTGACTTTTCACCATGCGCACGGTTTATTGTGAAATTGACATCGTGTTCTGGTCTCGCAATTTAGACATATTAGCCTTTTCAGTTTTGTTTACGTGTGTTAAGTCTACTTATAGCTTCTAGCTTTTTTCTTGGCTTGGTAATACAAAAGAGCGCTACAACGCTACCTTGAAGCAGCAGGAGATCGAAATGGTGTGCTTGGGCATTGAATAACATCGCTTATATATCTGTTATTTGCCGGCTAAGGGTCGGTCCGTATGGTGAAAAACTGTGACCTCGGCCTTATAATGCTGCCCGAGGCCGTCAAGGCCGAGGTCACAGTTTTTCACCATACGGACCGACCCTTAGCCGGTAAATAACATTTTTTTTTTAAACTTAACGAAACACATTCTGAAAGAACCCGAATGATTTAGGGCTATAAATATGGCAAGATCTTCCATAAACTGAACAATTTCTGAGCGAGTAAATGGTAGTTAAAGTAAAGGTGATACAAATTAAGGAGAGATGTTGTTCTGAAACATTTCCACTTGCGTAAATAAAGGTGATTTAAAAGGCTTCCAAACAAAGTTTGAAACATTATTTTTACAAGTATCTGTCACAATCTGACACCTGTCAATTAGAGAGTGCGTAAGAAAAAAAAAGCGCAAGAAGATTTGAAAAACAACGGAACTAGTTTGGCAAGGACTGTCGCGACAATGTTTTCTTCAAAAACAATCAATGATATAACGGAAAGTATTATTCACTCTCATCGACGATTCATTCATGTACGAAGATTTACCTCTGTTCATTAAGTAAACGGACAAGAAAGTAATTGTGAGTAAATTCAAATTTTTTATTTTGAAGTTGTGAGAGTTTGCTCGTTTGTTTGCTGCAACAGTGTATGTAAATCTGGTCTTTCCTCCACAAAAACGAAATTCGAACGGCACACTCCAACGAGACACAAGGGGATTTAACGCGGCCTTTTCTCAATAAATTCCTTCAGTTTCTGTTGTGCAATTTATGGTCCAAATGTCCAAATTGAACGGACTTTGAAAGACTCACCGAGAGCGTATATTTATTGTCGCGTACATTTATTATCAAGATGGGAAAAAGTTGGAAATTATTCTTATCAAGTTTTATAAAATAATCAAGATACTGGTAGCGCCGTGATTGGTCAAAAACCCATCGTTGATTGCACCTATAAACCCATGGAAAATTAATTGTTTTCTCTCAGACGTTGACGAATGCAGCAAATGAACGGATGCCATCCGTTCAATTAAGCTCATACCGTCAAAATGAACGGATGCCATCCAAATTCATCTTGCACTTATACCCAGGGCTCATCATACAACTGTTCTTGCAATCCTATGTAAATTGGGGATGGTTTTGAATGTAAAGGTTAGTTTGGTTTTTCATGAAGGCGATGAAATCTATATTTTGTTTCCCACGTTAAACGTAGCAGTAAATTGGCTTAGAGCTGACTTTCATTCGAAATTCACATCCAGGAGGCGTAATTTTACGCTTCCTTGTGCACAAAAACGAAACAACTTTTAATTATACATGACTATAAATATATGAAAATCATGCATGTGCACTGCGGTTGAAGAAATGAATATAGAGGCAATCCTCGCAGTTATGAATACCACTGAACTAGTAGTGAAAATAAGGCCTGAAAAAAATTCAGGTCCGTACGGGATTTCAACCCATGACCTTTACGAAACCGGTGCAACGCTCTACCAACTGAGCTAACAGGCTAACTGGGAGCTGCTAGTTACAAATAAACCATCTAATTGGTGAATACATTAATGTAAACATATGAAAATCATATATGCGCACTGCTACTGCCAGTATAGTAGTGTTCAAAACTGCGAGGATCGCTTCAATGTTTGTAACTTTTGATTATTTTTTTAAAACCTTACACGAACTTTTACATGATGCAGACATGACACACTACGTGGAACTAAAAAACTGTTAAGAAACTCTAACCTTAAAAGATTCCCCCATAATAACAGGTATGATCAATCAAATTCGTTTGACTTTTGCAAGCCAATTTGCGCTATGGTTGTAAATAATTGTATGATGCTAATAGGCAGAGAGTTCTTATACAGTCATGGGAAATAACTGTGTTGTTACCAAATACCTCTGGGCTGGTATCGTTGTGTGGGAAGTGAGGGTCAAGAATGTCTTAAGCGCATTTGGCAGCATTCAGTTGAGGTACAAACAACTACAGGCTTTGATGGGCGATTAAAGTAAGAGGAAAGATAATTCTTTACAATACTATCATTTCATTTTAGTTCTTTTGTGCATCATTATTGTCCAACGCAAGATTCTCTTTAAAATTAACTTAATGCATAGTTGTTCTTGTAACACGCAAGTCCTATCCGATTATTATCGAACTGATTGACTTGAAAAATGTCAAAAACAGAAAAATGATATCATTAATACTGCAACATTTTGTAATATTCATTTATTTTAATAGCCGACCCATGTTATTATCATCAAAACCTGAGTGATGCCGATAGAAAGAACAGTTACGCTACACCGGGATTTGACATGTACTACTTAGCCCCTTAATTAATGTAAAGTCACTTGTCTTCTTAAGTGCAAGTTTCACCACTGATTGACAAGCTGCTAGAATTATAGGACGTTAGAAAAGATCTTGAACCATTGATGTTAATAACCTAAGTCCTGTGCAATTATTTCACTTTGTAGCCGATCCTTGCTATCATTATAAAAACCTGAGTGAAGCCAGTAGAAAGATAAGTTACAGTACACCTTTCGGTTCAGCGTTGTGTGACAACCAACTCCCTAAGGAATGGTATCGTTTTGTGGGAGCTGCAGGAACAAAAATGCCAACAACGCGTGTGCCAGCATTCAGATGTGGTACAAACTGGTCAGGCTGGTTGGATGGTTCTCATCCTACAGTGGAAGATGGTGAAGTTCCAAGGAAGGTCTGCTTTAGTGGTCGCTCTACTGGTTGCAGATACTCAACAAATATTTTTGTAAAAAACTGTGGATCCAACTTTATCTACGAACTTAAACGCCCACCTGGTTGTGCCTTACGCTACTGTAGTACAGACTGAATGTAAAGCAAATGTACTTCGCGTAGTAAGAGGACTCATAAATCGCTCTGTAGGTACGTGTGTACAAGGTTTTGACATGTGACGTATTCAACTTTTCTTCTCTATCGTCAACATTATCAGCAGATTTTAACTTTGGTGGCAAACAAGTATTTATTTCATTAGAATGATAATTCTCATCGGATAGCCTTTGTCATTGAAGAGAGAATTTCCCAAAGGATCTTTAAAGTAATCTTCAAGTAAAATCTGCAAGACACAAACTCTCAAGCTTATGGCTTTCGAGCCTTTATGTTTTTTTTTTCGTTTTTTTCATCCTTCTATTGCTGTAATTATAAACCATGATTATTTTAGCGTTGGTCAGTGGAATATAAACAGGCGCTATCTTTCGCTATAGGCGTAGAAAAAAAGTGATGACAGTCAAAATCCGATGTCCTATGAAATTACGTAAATTTAACGTAATAATAGTAACTCAGTATTTTGAAACGTTGAACCAATTTCCAGACACAGTAAGCAAAATTTAATGGTTTAGCCTGCGTAACCGTGTGTTAAATGTGTCCGAATCGACCAGGATTCGTTTGAAATTATTGGATCGCTTACATCTCACGCTTATTTTGAATCCAAGTTAAAGATCTTTACGCAATGGCTTCAAAGTGTCCCTATACAGCTTATTTAACTAAGCGCACGGGCACTTCATTTATTCGAGACAAAATTTGTTCAAATAATTTTATATAGGTAATCACGCGTTTCCAGTGCAATTTGGGATAAAACAGAACGAGAAAATTTTAAACGACTAACCAAATTGCATAAAGCCGTAAGGCGAGTGCAACTTGGATGTGTATTATTAAGTTTAAAAGCTGCATGTAGCTTTTAAAAGTTGACCTGTTTTGCCTACAACATAAACACGCTAAAAGAAAGGTATTCAGAACTGCAATGTGTTAAAAAAAAGTATTTAGAGTAGCTTAGTTAAACACAAGTTGTAAACAACTTTTTACACCGTTTAAGTACATCACCAAAAATATTTTACAGGAATGTTAGATTTGAAATCAAAATCACAGTTTCTCTCGGCGAAGTTTTCCTTTTATATAATGCAAACATATTCAAAGAATCCTATGAAAAATAGTAAGCGCAGAAAAGAAACCCACTCTCACCGTAACCCCCAAAGGCTACTGCCTGATATTTCAATATTCTAACTAAGACTAGTCTTCCAATCATTTGATGTTCATTTATCTCTAATTTACAATAAGAGACCTGAACACAAAGCAAATGAGGCAAAGCAAGGCGAGTTTCTTGACAATGTATCAAAATATAGAAAAATCGTCGGTAGACTCTTCAAAGCAAAGTGATATGAGCTGGGTCAATCGTGGCTCAGCTTCTTGAGTGGTGTAAATAAATTATCTCATTATTTAACAAAAACTGTGTATCTCTTTGTAAATAAATTTAACTTACACAGACTATTTTTAGCTGAGTTTCATAACACGAACACGAGTAAGCGTTAAGGGCAGTGTAGTCCATGGGTCGGAGTAGGTTCTCGATACCACTCATCTAATAGCGATCGCGAAAGAGTAGCTTTCACCGTTTTTTATTGAAGTTAATGTCAATAACCTGGGAAAAATAACAACAACAACAAGGAAATATTGCAGTGAAGTAAAAACAGAGCCATAAATAAAAACTGGGTTTAACTTTACATCGCAACGATTCAGTAACAAATGGAGAAAGTTATTGAAAAAGATTTTAACGTAAGGAACAGAAAAAGGAAAATAAGGTAATTTTTAACTTAATATTGAACATTTTTCTTGATTAATTGCAAGTAGTTTTCACAGGTAATGTTTGAATTATGAAGTTAATAGTAATAAAAAAAAAATTGCAAAAAGGCATCTCTTGTAGTTCATGCCTTTGTTAGTGCTAAGGGATGTACATAAATTTGATACCCGTATGGGACAAGGGACAAAGGGGAGGGGGAAGGTTCTTTATAAAAGAACAATGGGAGAAATCATTGTTACCCTTAGGACCTGATAGTAATAATGGTACCTTTTGCATTGATGTACAAAAATTGCCCTGAAAAAATTCATATTCACATTCCGCTGGTAAATGAAGTTATCGATAAAATGTGTAAACGCACTGGGCGGTTAACTTCGCTCGGTTAATATATTTTTTTCCATACATGAATCAGTCAGAACTGTTGCAGAATAAAGTCTGGTGATAAAACCATGTGCTGTAGTATTGCCCATCGTCTCCCGTTGCCGGATTCCATCATTTATCCTGTCGATGTCATCTGTCCGGCAGAAGGAAGTGAATAACGTTTTCGTACACCACAAATGTAAGTGCACATGCTGGCGTTACTCTAAAAAGAAACAAAATCAACAACAATCAAACGCACAATACACAGTAAAATCGACAATGAACGTTCTACATATATTACAGTTTCAGGGTTTCTTCTAAAGCGCTCCTTTGCTGGATTTCCAAAAACAAAAAAACTGCTAAAACTTACACTAACATATCAGGTGGGGCACAAACATTTGTGATAAGGATAAGTATCTTAATAATTTCACAGTATTCGCACATGTAACTGACGAAAACAATGACATGACACCTACTCCAAATTTTATAGCCTCTTAATGTATCTATCGCCTGTCTCTTCTTCCCAGTTTCTCACAGACTAGAATGTGCAAATAAGTTCAAACACCTTATGGGGGTACCCCATCTCTTAAGACCCTTTTCTTTACAAAGCGCCACCTGAAATTAAAGATGAGAGCCCACTAAGCCCTCTTGGCCAATTCTAGATTATACATTGCGGTTTAACACATAAAACTAACAAGCAAATCTACTTGTATCATCAAATTTATTTTTAACATTTAGCCTTACCTGAGGACACTGGGAATTAATCCTTTATAAAATCCTGTTACTCCTTCATGCCTAAGATTTTGAAAAGAACCTGCTGTGAGAAGAGGCCAAAAAAAGAAGAATACCTTCTTTCATGAAAATGTGGACTTTACCACTGAGCCGTAAGTCAATCCGAAATTGGATCCAGTTCTCAAACAAGCTGGTTTCAGTTCTCCGCCAATTTTGGTCCAGTTCTTTGTCAAATTGTATCAAACGGGCAAAACATGTACCTCTCTTTAATGTAGAGGGTTTGAACTGACTAAAGATGGAAAGCTAGTCTATAACATATCGAAAACTTTAAGTCCTCATGTCAAGTTCCAACTTACCTGAAAGTCTTACTAATCACATCCAACGCGCCTTTGTATTCCACCATCGTGTACTGATTCTTTAGAAAAGTAAAATTCATGAACAATAAATGACAGCAGGAAACAGTAAATACTGAACGATTTAACAAAACAGACTTGCTTAGAGACAGCTCCAGATATATTCAATTGGTTTTAGCTAATTTTATGGGCACAGGATCAAAACTTTCGCGCCGTGCGTTCTCATAACCATCTTGGATCCGTGTTTCTTAAGAGGAATAGAGAGAGTGAAAGAGGGTGAAAGCTACTCTCCCTCGTGAGATTTGGTATTTATCCTCATTGTAGGGTTTCCCTGGCCTTTTGTTGGTGCCCATTTGAACCACTGGGAGGGGGGATGTGTGGGGCTAACGAATCTTTTCCCAAGGAACCGACACAATGACCTAGCTGAGGCTCGAGGCCCGAGCACAGGCCACATCAAACTGGAGTCCAGTAAACCAACCGATGAGATCACCGGACTGAAAACTAAAAACAGCCTTAAACAACAAGTTTATTTCAAGATAATAGCATACAACAGTAAAACGAAATCTAAATCTATGTCAAAAGGTTAATAATTTTTTAATGAATCTCCCATTCTAACCTGAAGTCTTGCTCTAACCACTTGATAAGGATATGTCGCTGTTGCGGCGAAAATTTTCGACAGTGAAGCCGTTACAAGGTACTCAGTTGAACTCTATGAAGAAAATGAAAGTTAGCAAAACATAAATTAGAGAGCAAAACACTTTATATAAAAAAAAGAACTACTATATATTCAGCACTTCAGAGTGATTCCCAAGATAACCCACGGTTACATAATAATAAACGTCATCCTATTAGTACCTTCCTACCAGCCACATGTACAACAAAGGTAATAGAGGTTGTCTTTTGGACGTCAGTTGTAGCTTCAAAATGCTGAAGCTCGTCATGGAGGACTACTACTCAAGATGAGAAGCCAAAAACTTCCCCCACCCTTCCCTCTCTCGTGTTCTCCCTTTACATTCGCCACTGGCCTCTACATGTGTTCGTGTTGACCCTTTACAACCTAACATCAGTATCCATATTCTCCATACTGTTCTCTATACATTTCCAAAGATACTAACAAGGAGAATTTCTTAAACAGTCAAGAACTTTTTCGGTGGCTGAATATTTCCTCTCTTCTCATGACCTCCATGTGTGATTCAGAGGTGATATTGTAAGGAGATGTTAGATGTCAGTCATTCTTGGGGGGCAAAGGGTTGATTCTTATCAATCCTTCTGGGTAGAGAGGGGAGTTGAGAGTAAAGTTTCGTTCCAGTAAATGACAACACTTCAATCATTCACCCTAAGCTATTAACATGATCAGTGTAAAAGCACTTCACATGTTTTGTATGTCAAGGATTAAGATCAAGAGTTTCTTGTTTGCTAACTCGGTTGAATTTGTGAGCTTTAACACGTATACAATCAACTATACAGACAAGTGCAGACAGTATTCACCAGCTTCTTGTTGATTGGTGTTCCAAAATATTGACTGTAGCCTTTCTTCAGCTCCTCATAGGCCATGAATTGCAGTGCTCCGTGCATACGCCAAAAACACCTGGAACGTAACCCTGGTCAAGTAAAAGAAAATGATATGAGCAAACTTCATGTTCCATCCAAACACAAACTCAGGTTAATCACTCACAATACCATATCTAAGCTAGGCGAAGATAGCGGGGTCTTAAAAAAGGCTGAAATAGCTTTGTATGGTTCCTGACTCTTAGACTGATGTTTATGCTTCTCTTTTGTTTTTGCGCTTACCTTCCCTTTTTCTCTTTTTGATTGTTTCCCTCCTTTTTTTAAGGAGGATTGAAAACCACTGTTGGCTTAGTGCATATGCAGCAACCAAAACATACTAACTACAATATTAAAATGTTTTACATTAAGTCTCAAAAGTGAATATCAAAGACATAATTGTGATTGCATCATGAAGACCTACATCTGTAAGATACCTAAAGTTCTCTGCAATCAGAGTACCAAACAATGAGTCACTCAAAAAAATAGGCCCGATGCATTGATGTAAAGTTTTCAAATTGTGCTCTATAAGAGCACTTTTACACTTCCACTATTGAATCTCCCATGTACATTTAGGAACTAAAGACTATATACATCTATATATTTAATAATTCCTCTATTTTACAACATTTTATGCCATTATTTTTTGTGTTCTTAAGCCCAAGGTATTAAGGTACACATGGAGCGGTACACACCACTTGTGACTTCTTGGATTTGATTGACTTTGTTAGAGACCAATACCCTGCATACTTCACCACAAGACCAGCACACACAGTCAAAATAATCTCAGTTTTTAACTTGATCAATCAATCAAAAAGCTGTCAACCGATACATATCAAGGTTACCTTGTATAAACCTCTCAACTCCTCATGTCTCCACAACTTTAACAGAGCATCTGTAGAGAACAAGGAGTACAAAATAAGTCATCCATCTGGATTTCATGTAAGTGAGGAATTGGTGAGCACAATTACATGCGCCACCAACTTGATTCCAGTTCACAGTGAAATTGCGATTGAGAAAAGTACCAAACAATTTATTATTCACTGCTGAATCAACGTTAGGCTTATAAAAAACTAAAGAAATGATCACAAACTTGAAAGAGCTCTTGATTTTTAACTACATTCTCCTTGTAAGTTGCATGTCTAAAATGTATCAAGAACAGAACGGGGGAAATACATACTGATGGAAGTGTGTAAATGGTTCACTTTTCTTTTCTCTCTCTTAGGTAAAAAGGTGTCATTCATCTTTGCAAACAAATATCTTACCAAAAATTCATTTTTACTGAGGTGTTTGTGTTTTTTCAGCAAGGGAATCAGAATACTAGAGACATAAGCGAGTTTTGACCACCCATATTGAATTTGTTAGGTAACCTGGCACAAACCACCAAAAAGTTAATTCATCATTCTAATTAGCAAATAGATGGACCGTAATCGTTGGAAAGTAAGTCCACGTGATATAACTTAAAACTTTTCCTAAAATGATCTCAATAATAACGCAGCACAATCGGTTACTCGCCAAACATACAATTATCTATTTGTTCAAAATTGATCAGCGCACTTGAATGAATGTGTAAAGGGCATCGCATGAATTAATGTCTGATAACATCTCGAACCGTGAACACGACCCTGAGAGTGACGCTAAATGAGCACGCTTCAAACTTCGAGTCTCTCAACGGAGACAAACACCCTGTCCCAGATGCTTTTTTCGAAACATATTCACAATTCTTTCATTACACTTTATTCGAATATCGGTAGTTCTTAACAGTAGAAACAAAACAAGATTATAAAGACTGCCTCGATAAGCTCGTCCGTGGAAAAGCGCCAGAGTTTGCCCGAGAGGTTTCAGAATTCAGATCACCTGTACATGCTCTATATTTAAATTCAAATAAAAGATTATTTGGGACTAGAAGTTATTAGGATCGCACAAGTTATTAGTAAACTTACACAGCCACAGAATTTAGAAAAGGAACCAAAACTGCATAGTTTCTTTGAGATCAGCTTAGATTTATAAGGCCTATTTGGTGCACCGTTTTATTTTGTCCCTTGTTAGAAGTGCTGTTTCACAGTAATTTTTTTTGTTTGTTTTCAGTCATTTGCGGCGGTGAAATATCGCTTTCAAAAATCTCACACTTTCAAAATATGGCCAACATTTATCAAATAGAACGTAAAAAACCACGATATTTCCATAGGGACATTTTTTAATACAATAGCTTTCCCTCGACGGCTTTGAGGTTTTGCGGTGCCTTGAAGGAGATCAAATGAAAAAAAGCACAAAAAAATTCGCCAAATCTCGTGCAGCAACTTCTTTATTCTCCATGTGTAGAGGGCTGGATTAGTCTTTAAGACGAATATCAACATTTAGACAAAGTAATTGATAGCATGAATCATGAGGTTCATTTTGGATAAATGATTCTAGGCAACTTTTCTCTCAAATATTGATAACTGAGTTCAGTCAAAAAATATTGTTTGGGAATAAATATTAAGAGAATATAGTTCAAATTGCTTGACCGGTCGTACTTCTTTTCTGCTTTGAAAAGTGGAATATTCAGGACTTAATTATCTTCAAGCGGCACCGGTCCGGCGGTTGTAATTTACGTCCACGGGGGCGTCTTTCCTACAGTAGAAACCTCATAAAAAATAAATGTCCTCAATGCATCAATTTTTGGTCACGGAACCATAGTTAAAACAATTTTTAAGGACTTAACTCGGACTCAAGTTTCAATGCACAAAGGTTGTGCATTAAGAAACGAAACTACTTGGCGACGATTTGACGCAAAATCTCTGGAGGGCTTTTCTTAAGTCAACACATAATTCTGAAATATTTGAGGGCACTCAAATAGATATCTTTTAGGCTTGATTTTAATAATATCAGTCCTTTTGCAATTCTCATTTCACTTTGCAGCTGATCCTTGCTATCATTATGAAAACCTGACTGAAGCCAATAGAAAGATAGATTACCTTACACCTCCCGGTTCAGAATTGTGTGACTACAAACTCCCAGAGGGATGGTATCGTTTTGTGGGAGCTGCGGGAACAAAAATGCCAACAACACGTGTGCCAGCATACAGATGTGGTACAGACTGGTCAGGCTGGTTGGATGGTGCTCATCCTACAGTGCAAGATGGTGAAGTTCAAATGAAGGTTTGCTTTAGTAATCGTCTATCTGAGCTCCCGGTTTGCAAATACTCAACAACGATTTTTGTGAAAAACTGTGGATCCTACTTCATCTACAAACTTCACCACCCACCTGGTTGTGATTCACGCTACTGTGGTACAGACTGAATGCGAAGCAAATATACATGGCGCAGTAAGAGGACTCATAAATCGCTCCGTAACTACATGTGTGTAACGTTTTTAACATGTGACCTACTTAACCTTTCTTCTCTATCGTGAACATTATCAGCAGATTTTAACTTTGGTGGCAAACAGGTATTTATTTCATTATAATGATAATTCTCATCAGAGAGCCTCTGTTATCGAAGAGAGTTGAAGGATCTTCAAGGTAATCTTCAAATAAAATCTCAAGCTGATGGTTTTCGAGCCTTTTAATTGTGAATTTCTTTTTTTTAGTATATTTTTTAAAATCCTTCTTTAGCTGTAATTATTAACCATGGTTATTTTAGCGTAGGTTGACGGAATACAAGGAGGCGCTGTCTTACAATATCGGCGTAGAAAAAAAAAGTAAAGACAGTCAAAATCTGATGTCCTATGAAATTACACAAAGTTAACGTAATAATTGTCACTCAGTATTTTGGAACGTTAAACAAATTTCCAGACACAGTAAGCAAAATTCAATGGTTTAGCCTGCGTAACCATTATTTAATTAAGCGCACAGGCACTCCATTCATTCAAGATGAAATTTGTCAAAACAATTTTTTGCAGCAATTTGTATAGGTAATCAGGCGTTTCGAGTGCAATTTGGGAGAAATCAGCACGAGTAAATTTTCAAAGGCTAACCAAATTGCATGAGTACGATTACGTTTAAAAACTGAATGTAGTTTTTAAAAGTTGACCATTTTTTCAAAGTTTAATGTTTTTCTACAACAGAAACGCAAAAAGAAAAATATTCGAAGCCGCGATGTGCTAAAAATAAGACTTAGAGTAGTACAGGTGAGTTGTAAGGTGTTGTAAACAACTTTGTACACCGTTAAAGCACATCACCAACAATATTTCACAGAAATGTTAGATTTGAAATCAAAATAACAGTTTCTCATTGTGAAATTTTCCTATTTTTTAACCTGCAAAAATGTTTAAAGAATCCTATGAAAAATAATGAGCGCTGGAGAAAAACCCGCAAGAGCCACTTCTTTTCTAGGACTAGTCTTTGAATCATTTGATGTTTATTTGTTTCTAATTTACAAGAAGAGACCCGAACACAAAGCAAATGAGGCGAGTTTATTAACAACGTATCAAACTATCCAAAAATCGTTGGTGCTCTTTTCAAAGGAAAGTGACATGAGCTGAGTCACTTTGTGACTCAGCTACTTGAGTGGTAGAAGGGCATCGCATATGTAATCTCATCATTTAACAAAAACTTTATCCCTTTGTAAATACATTTAACTTACACGGACTTTTTTATGTAGTCCATATGCCAGAGTAGGTTCTCGGTACCACTCATCTAATGAAATGTTATGTAAAAGACTCTTCAAATTCACTTGATAGCAATCGCGAAAGAGTAGCTTCTATCATAATATCAGTAACCAGGGAAAATGACAACAACAACAAAGAAATGTTCGGGTAAATGCATGAAACCAGAACCCAGTAAGGCAAAAACAAAGTAATCAATCAAAACTGGTTTTAACTTTACATGACAACAATTCAGTAATAAATGAAGAAACTTATTGTAAAAGATTGTAACGTAAGGAACAGCAAAAGGAGAGTAAGATAGTTTTCTTTAGAACTGTCACAATTAATTTAATATTGAACATTTTCCTTGATTAAATTGCAGGTAATTCTCCCACAAGTAATGTTAGAATTCAATTGTCAATTGTTATTAAATAAACAGCAATAATAATAAAAAAAAAAAAAAAACTTGCAAAAAAGGCATCTCTCAACAAAGGGATAAATTATTGTTATCTGTAGGGGCTAAGAATAGTAATGGCTACCTTTTGCATTATTGTACATAAAATGCTCTGAGAAAAACTTATTTTCACATAACGCCGGAGCATGAAGCGTTACTAATGAAATGTGTAGACGCACTGGGTTGTTAACTTTGCACCTTAACGAATTTTTTCTTTTTTTCCATAAATGGAATCAGTCGGAGCTGTTGCTGAATAAAGCCTGGTAATAAAACCACCCGCTGAAATTTTGCCCCTCGTCTTCCATCGCTGGATTGCATTATTTGCCTGTCAATGTCATCTGTTTCCGAAGGAAGTGAATAACGCACACCATGAATGTGAGTGCGCATGCTGGCGTTACTCTAAAAAACAATCAAATGAAAAAATACAGTAAAACCAATAATGAACGTGTTCACAGATATTGCAGTTTCTGGATATCTTCCATAGCGCTCCTTGGCTGGATTTCCGAAATTCGAAAAAAAAAAAAGCAGAAAACCGCAAAAGTTTACACTAACACATGAGATGAAGCACCGCCGAGTTCTGTCCAGTTGAACATGTGGATTTTCTTTCGCCTCTGTCAAACCAACGAGATGAAAATACCTTAAAATACTGATTACTTTTTCTACCGCACACCTTTTCTTTGACATGTTACAGTATTGTTATTACAGAGGTGAATTGCCCATCAGTTGGCATTCTAGGCCCAGAGGTTGTCTTAAGCTTTACTTTGAGCCTTACTGGTGAAATGAGAGTGACTTTGCTCTAGGCTGAGAGGTCATTACCTTCTATCAAAATCAAGACACCTGACATCTCCACAAATGTTAATGAGTGAAAAAAGTGACTACAGCACTTAGGTAATCTGGCCCAGACCACCAAAACTTTCCCCCAACATCTCAAAAATAACGCAACACAATCGGTTACACGCCAAACATAAGATTATCTATTTGTATAGAATTAATCAGCGCATTAGGACGAATATGGAAAGGCTATCGGGCATCAAGTGAATTAACATCCGATAACATCTCAACTGTGAACAGGACCCTGAGAGTGACGTTAAATGAGTACGCTTCAAACTTCAAGTCTCTTGACTCAGGCAATCACCATGTCTAAGATGCTTTTTTCGAAATAGTTTCAAAATTATTTTATTACATTTTTTTTCGAATTTCTTTTGTTCTTAGCAGTACATACAAAGCAAGAATGTAAATATTGCAAAGAAAAGCTCGTCCATGGAAAAGCGCCAACGTTTCACTTAGAGGTTTCAAATTTCAGAATTTAGACCACCTGCTCATGGTCTAAAATTCAAATTCAGTTGAAAGATTCCTTAGGACTAGAGGATATTAGGATCACACAGTTCTAACTCAATTTAGTCATCTCAATAAAATTTTGTTCAAAAGTTCTCTTCTATTGTTCAGTCGCATGTCACATTTAAACAATGTTAAAATGAGTGAGCAAAGCTGCGTAAAAAAAAACAAACAAACAAACAAACAAAAAACCCAGAGAGAGCAAGCCTCTACTAGTATAAAAGTTTTGTATTCAAATGATGGTCATTAATACCTTTTAGGACCTGTCAAGTCTCTCATTTTAAAACAACCTATACGATACCATAACATATTGCGGTGACGAAAGGGTTGGAATACACGCGAGAAATTCTTCAGTGCTGTAATTTGGGAGCAGCTTACATCATAAATTTAAGTAACGTAAGGATAAAAAGAATTTGAACTGACACATGTTAGATGACAAAAAAAACCTGTCACATTTGCAGCCTCATTAACTTAAATGAACTTCACAGTCGCCCAATTGTTAGTGTCAGGCTGAGTAATAAATTATTCAACTTTTTCTGGAATTACGTGGGTTTGATTGCATTTCCGTAGAATATTTCTGCAATTTATTTAGCCTGATCCTAAACTTAAATTCGATTGTAGCTTCATCTCTGCACTCAAGTTTTAATGTCGTTCTCGAATAATGGAATCTTGACTATGAACAAATTAACTGCATCCCACATAATCAATATTTGCTGTACTTGAAACAGACAATTTGACGTTCCTCAAGGTTAATTATGTTTTCCTTAGCTCATGGATGGGTTTCTTTTGTTAGGCGATGGATTACGAAAAGATGACAGGGATGTGTTATGAAAATACTCCTAAGAGCTGTTTTGAAAGTAGCTTTCGTATGTTTGTAACTAAAATTTACCAAACTTTAATTTGTGCCTAAAAGCTAATAATTTGTACCGATTAGTTTTCATTTAAAATTAATGAAACAAATATCCTCGCCATTGGTTAGCAAACATCGCAAACAGAACGACTATAATATTTTAACTTCCGGCCCGAATCTTGTTGAATTCAATACTTGAGAGGAGCGAAAACAGAAACCATGAAGTTCTTTTTCAATGTTAATTATTAGACTTTGGCTTAAAACAAACGGTTGGTATCGTAATCATAGTCATAATACCTTCATGAAAGACAACATTTTTAACTCGGTAGCAATCAAGTGGTTGAGGACCGCATTTGGTATATTTATCAGCTCTAGAGTTACGTAAAATAAGTTTGACTAAAATCCCAAAATAGGGTTTGGTAAATATTTGAGGGAAAACTAACTACGGCTACCTTTTAGGATTTAGTTTTCAGATATCACCTATGAATGCCATCCATAGGAGGCCTGTGTATTTGTTTTAACACGATGGTGGTCGAATTTTACTTTGTTTCTACTTTCCCTCGACGGTTTTGAGGTTTTGCGGTGCCTTGGAAAAGATTAAACGGAAAAAAAAATTGTGGCAAATGTCGTGCGGGAACTTACTTTATTCTCTATGTATAGAGGGCTGAAGTAGTCTCTAAGACTGCCATAAACAATTAAAACAAACAATTGATAGCGTTCATATAAGTTTCGGCTAGAACTGAAACATGAGGCTCGTTTTGGATAAATGATTCGACACAGCTTTTCTCTCAACCTAATGATAACTGAGTAAAAAAAAATTTTTTTGGGAATAAATAGTAAGAGAATAAATTTCAAATTGCTTGACCGATCGTACTTCTTTTCTGCTTTAAGAAAAGGAATCTTCAGGAATTAATTATTTTTAAGTCACACAGGTGTTCTTATCTCGGCCTCAAGTTTCAATGCACGAAGGCTGTGCATTGAGTAACAAAGCTACCTGGCAATAATTTGACGCAAAGTGCGGATGTAATCTCTGGAGGGCTCTTCTTAAGTATGTCGACACATCCTTCTGAAATGTTTGAGGGCACTCGTTTTTGAGCAGAGGTGGATTATATATCTTTTAGGCTTAAAAGTTTCTGAGAGCTGATAAACAAGTCTCCCTGACGTTAATGAGTGCGGGGCTCTAAGGAATAATTGCGTGTTTATCATTCGCTATTCCTTTTCAAGGTAAGTGAAATTCTCTCTTATCATTAAGATGAGAAATAAGGTTGTTTTCTGTGCTAATAAAACAAAAATATTAAACGCGCTTCATCCGTGTGTTGATACATTAAAAAAAAAAAATTGAAAGCGTGTGAGCTCCAACATATAATACAAAATATTTTATTGCGGAATTCATAGAAGCATGCACTCATCTTTTACCAACACAACCTACGACAAGACAATTTTTTTTCGCTAAAGAACAAATTAATGAATCGTGTAAAAGGTACAGAAATCATGTAAAGAGTTCTTCCGTGTACAACGTTAAAAATAAAATCGAGACCAAAGATTTGCCGCAATTAGACTGGCCTTTTTCAATTAAAAAGCCTCAATTCAATCGACGAATTCACAATGCAAGTTCAACCCTCATATCTTCCCTCTTAAACTGATATGAAAGAAGGAATCGAATCATTTCGTTCAAACCGAATCTTTCGCGCGAAAGTTCTGCCTCGTTGTTTAACAAGGGTGACGGAAAATTGCAAGCACAGTAAGGTAAGGAAAAAACGGAGTCTTATTTAACCTTTGTTTTCTTATCAAATTGCCATAACTTGAATATTCTCCACCATAAATCGAATAGTCACGAAATGTTTTGTTGTCATAACAACATGGATCAAGACATTTCAACAAATATTTGGATGCTTGCCTCACTCGTTTCATTTTCATCTGTTAGTCGTGAGGCCGATCAACATCTCAGCCGCGATTCTGTCTAAGAAACAAACTTTACAATTAAATCTTAGAATGGATTTCTTCGTTTCTCTTCCGTTTGTTCGTCCCTCCGTCTTTTTTTTAGAGCATTTTTGTTTGCCTACTTGTTTGGTTCGGTTTGCGTTAAATCCATGGGCCAGAAAAAAACGTTAAAAGCATCTTCCTAAATAATATACACTTTCCAATTTCAGCATTGGTGACGATGGCGTGGAATTCAAGCTTCCTCATCCTATTGGCCTCTTTGTATCTCATGAATCTCGCTATTGCTAAGAATCCGTGCAAGACAGAAGTTAACGTACCTGGTATGGCTCTCAAAGGATTTGTCTTTAAAAAGGTCCCAGTAACAGCTCCTCATGTGTGCGATATCACCTGCGAGAAGGATACGATATGTCAAAGCAACAATTATGTAATTGGGGAAAAGTACTGTGAATTAAACACCCGAACCAAGGAAGCAAGGCCCGAGAATTTGCAGCCAGATGATTTACGCTTTTACATGGGACGCATTAGTGGTAGAAGTATGTATCCGGTTTAGTTTATTTTACATACAAATCTTTCTCAATGAGTTCTTTGTAAAAACCTGCCACTTTCCGAGAGCAAATGTCTGATTGCTTTGTTATTAAATACGTTAATACCAGCTAAAATTCACAGATCTTTATTATTATTATTATTCCGTGTTTACCTTGCCCGAACAAATATATTTTCAACTCTAATCTGTTTTAAAACTTCTATTAACCTTAAACTATATATTAACGAAGTCATGTCTACATCATAGCCCCCTTAGGATCTATTCCTGAATTACCAGCGTTATCGTGCCAGGAGATAAAATTAAGTGAAGGTGAAGACAGCATCAGTAAAAGGTATTGGTTGGATCCAGCTAATGCCGGGAGTTCAAAGTTGGTTTACTGCGACATGATTTTGGAAGGTAACTCAGTATACCAAGAACAGAATTTACACATTGTTTGGTCTGCCTCTGCCCTGGCCTTTTGTGAAATGTTTCTCCCCGTCTCAGTGATTTAATCGATTACTTTCCAATTAGACATTGATGAATGCAAAGGCACCAATAACATTTGTGACCAAAATGCAGACTGCTCCAATACTGTTGGGTTTTATAATTGCACGTGCAAAGACGGATTTACTGGGATGGACACTCGTGCTCAGCTAAAATAGTTACAGACATGCCGAGGTACAATATTTAATTCTTTTTCGCCTAAAAGCTCTGTACATTTGAGCTATCTACAATCGAGTAATTAAGTGAATAATAAACCAATAATACCTTGCAAACTATATCAGAGAAGCCCTAGCATTAAACAAAGCAATTTTAGCAAGAGCTATTGTCACACTAGTGCTAAGTTTTGCTTTTTAAGCAGCATTATCCATACATGTTTATGCACGGAGTTGCCATGATCTACATCCGGTTTGTTTGAGAGTCATCATGTTAGGAGATGTAAAAGAAAAAACATAAGAGAAGAGAATATAATATCTAGATTGCACGTTAAAGACGAAAAGGTGAAAGCTATTGCTTATTATTCGAAATGATTCAAGTAATTACAAATCGTTAGGTGACAAAAATAAACTACAAAATGCATCTACGGTTTCTTAGATATTGACAAGTGTAAAGGAAATCACTCCTGTCACGTGAATGCTAAGTGCAATAATACCCTTGGATCACATGTATGTGAATGTCAGCCTGGATATACTGGGAATGGACAAGCCTGCACAGCTGAATTTAATTTCTTCGTTACAATATTTATAATAGTCCTGCATGACACGTTTGACTACAGCGCCGCACCATTCGGCCGCGTTGCAGCAGCCTATTAAAAACTCACTATCGGCCGATAACGATTCTGCCAGCTATATCGAAGGTTTTCGAAAAAATTGTGCATTGCCGAATAAGCCCGTATTTTGAAGAAATCTATCAAAAATATGTGTTTGCTTATAGAAAATATCACGGCTGCGACTCAGCACTTCTTAGTCTAACCGAACAATGGAAAAAAGAAATTGATAACAATAAATTGATCGGTCTGGTCTCCATGGACTTGTCCAAGGCTTTCGACACCTTACCTCATGAACTGATTGTTTTGAAATTAAAAGAATATGGAGCAGATGAAGCAACAACCTCCCTAATAAAAGATTATTTATCAAATCGATTCCAAAGGGTGAGACTGAGGGATACGCTTTCCAATTGGCAACCTATATGCAATGGTGTACCACAGGGATCCATCCTCGGCCCTTTATTATTCAACATCTTCATGAATGATCTTTCATATGTCATCAAGAAGTGCACTCTGTCCACTTACGCTGATGACACTCAAATCTTTTACGCCGACAATCAACTCTCCAAAGTTGAAGAAACAATCAACAATGATCTTATTAGTGCTGATATATGGTTTGCGCGTAATGGTATGAAGAGGAACAGTTCAAAATACCAGGCTATGGTGTTGGGAAAACACAAAGGAACTGATGAACCAGTGTTTATAATTAAGTGTGAGGAGTCACAACTTCCCATATCCAACACACTGGAACTTCTTGGCGTGACAATCGATGATAAATTAAATTTTGAAAAGCACATTGCTAAAATATGTAGAAAAGTCAGTCAACAAGTCGCCGTATTAAAAAGGATGCAGAAAATGTTGTCTTTTGAGACTAGAAGGGATCTTTATAAAGCTTTCATTTTACCACACTTTAAGTACTGCTCCGAAACGTGGCACTTCTGTAATAAAAAGTCAGCTGACAAGTTAGAGTCGGTGAACAAACGTGCGCTCCGTTTTGTTTTTAGAGATAAGTCCTCGCCTTATGAGGAACTTTGTAAGCGTATCGGTCTCTCAAATCTTCGTGAACAGCGATTAGCGAAAATATTGTCCACTGTCTTTAAGATATTAGCCGGTGATGCAGGTCCAAAAAGCTTACGTGATCTTATAACAGTAAGGTGCTCCACTTATAACCTTAGGGGCACCACAATACTGGACCTCCCAAAAGTAAAATCAACAACCTTCGGGTTAAGATCATGGAGATATGCTGCATCGAAATTGTGGAACGCTTTACCGGACGAGTCTCGAAAGATACAAACATTTACTACTTTTAAAAATTACTTAAAAACATTAGATCTCACAGGACTATAGTGCGGTGAGGATCTATCCTTGATTATATTTACTGTATTTAATGATTACATTTTATACATTTTTATACATTTCTATACATTTCTATACATTTCTATACATTTCTATACATTTCTATACATTTTTATACATTTTACTTGGTGACTACATTGTTAAATTCTTATATTTTAATATTAGCTAGTTCTTAATCTTAATTTATTTAAATTTATATACCTTCATAAGGCTTTATAATTTCCTTTTCTCTTTTTATTTCGTGGCGTACCTGTAAATTAGCTTTTAGCTAAGCGTTCTGACCACGTTAAATAAATTGATTGATTGATTGATTGATTGAGACAATTAGATAATTTATTACTCATGACTCGTTAGGATTTAAGAAGCCGTTTCTCATGTTACGAACCTCTTACGTAATATCCCTGACTTTTAAATGAACAATTTTGGTGACGATGCATTGGTATTCTCCTCTAAAATTAACCTTATCACAATGATTGAAAGAAGTATGAAAATGAATCGCTCGTTTGGCTCTGAACCCTGTGCACAGGATGGATATTGATTTTCCATGGTGCTACGTTTTCGTTGACGCTTAAAATATATTGGAATGAAAAAGTTAACAATTATTATCATCGAGTTTTATAAAATAGTCAAGATACTACGAGCGCCCTGATTGGTCAAAAAACAACCGTTGATGGCGCCGATAAATCCATGGAAAATTGAAGTTTGTGTTATTAAAGTAACAGACTCCACTTTCTATCAGTTTACCAACGTAGTAAACGTCTCCAGATGTTAGGAAACTATTCGAAAAAGTAAACTGATAGAAAGAGCGATGAATAAATGAGGTAAGTCTCTAAAGAAACTGATGCTGCGTCGGTGGGAGAGTATAACAGGGTGATCAAGTATTATCAACCGAGTTGATAACGTATTTTGGCCACCGTAAAGAGTTTTAAAGCTAACGCTCAAAACGCCAGCTTCGTAACTATTACGGTGGTCATTTTACATTATTACCTCAGTTGATTAAACCAAATAATCTCACTAATAAGATTTGTGGCAAATGCAAAAATTAATAAAAAAGGGAAAAGGGAAAAGTAAAAATGTTTTTTATAGAAATGAGATGTTGACTCCTGAAGGGATTGTATATTTTTCTCGGACCTTATCTGACCAAGTCTTCAACAATTTTTTTTTACCATGTACGTTCTCTCAGACGTTGACGAATGCAGCGAGGCCCATCCCGTTAAAATGGACAAATGCCATTCGATTGCATCTTGCGCTGATACCCAGGGCTCATACAACTGTTCTTGCAATCCTACGTTTATTGGAGATGGTTTAGATTGTGAAGGTTAGTTTGGTTTTTGAAGGCGATATAATTTGCATTTTGTTTCCCACGTTGAATGTAGCAGTAAATTGCTTAGAGTTGACTTCCGAAATTCACATCGAAGAAGTTGACTTTCACACGGAATTCACATCGAGGAGGCATAATTTTACGCTACTTTGTGCACAAAAACGAATCGCTTTTTCATTGTGTTTTAAATGTTTAACAACCTTACAAGAACTTTTACATGATACAGACATGACACCCTCTGTAGAACTAAAAAAATATTTAAGAATCTCTAACCTTAAAAGATTCCCTTACAATAATAGCGTCTATGATCCTTATTTTAGTTATGCAAGTCAATGAATGAGTTGCCAGTAATCGGATCCTTGTGTTTTCGCAAAGATTTCTGGGATCGCCACGGGGCAAACATTACGACTGTTCAAGGTCCAAAAAAACCATTATGGAGAGAGATCATGGCCTTTTCGTCGCTGTTTTATCAGAATTGGATTGGGTAATGTCGATACAAGGGAAGCGTGATTTTTGTGTGAACAACCATGAAATATGAGGTAAAATGCACCTATTAACTTTTCACCATGCGCAAGGTTTATTGCGAAATTGACATCTTGTACTGGTCTCAAAATTTAAACATATTAGCTATAAATCGCTCAAACCAAATAACTCAATTAAGCCTTTTCAGTTTTGTTTACGCGTGCTAAGTCTACTTCTAGCTTCTAGCTTTTTTCTTGGCCTGGTAATACAAAAGAGCGCTACAACAGCTACCTCGAAGCAGCAGGAGATTGAAATGGTGTGCTTGGGCATTGAATATTATCGCTATGCATTAAAGTGATTAAACACCTACACTGCTTCTTTACTGTGGTAAATGAGAACGAAACGGCATTAATAATCGGCGCAAAACTAAACCCTCTCTTCTCCGAGAATGCGTAGGTACAAATGGGTCACTTAAGGAGCGATGTACAAGTGAATATATGCCCAAAGTTCCTGCTGGACTTTCAGTTATCTGTCCTTCCCCTCTAAGGAGTTCGAGGAGAAAGTGGAAGAACAAAAATCTTGGGATTGTTCTCAAACAAACTCGACCTAGGGATTTTCTCGTGTTTTTCATTGCTTATTTCATCCTTCCAAAGAGCAACATCCCTATAAAAAACAATTTCCATCCCCACTGACAACGACTTCTCTCCTGTAGAGGCGGTATATTTACATACGTCGTAATTTGTATAAGTAATCGCATGGAGCCGAGTAAAATTAAGGATTAAAGATTAAGGACGCCATTGTTACAGAGGATTTTTTAGCAACAACTACTCGATAGCATAAGCTGTTGCTAGGCAACCTGAGAACCAATAGTGAGCAAGTCATTTTACCCTATTCACAAGGGAAATTAAGAAAAAATACCCTCTTCATGACCAATCAGCATTCATTTATTTTACCCTCTATGTTATTAGTATATTTAATACATTAAAAGGAATGAATTTAGGCTTTAAATACATGAATACAACTGAAAAGACTTAGTAAGTTGTTTCCTAACGATTTATGGCTAATTTTGTTATATGTCGAGACCATTACGCCATGACGATTTCATATTAGACCTTATGCAAAGAGAAAAGTTAATCGGTACGTTTTAAATTTCGTGTTAATTGTGACAAAAACTACACTCTCCTCGTGTCAACATTATCTTAATCTATTTATGATAAAATTGCGGTAAAAAGCGTTGAGCTCTCTCAAAAATAGGGCTTTTTGGACATCGAAACAACCTTTTACCATACATTTCTTTCTAGCGAGTTGCAATGTTTGCCCCGTGGCGATCCCAGAAATCTTTGTACAAAGGTAAAGATCCGATTACTGGCAACTCATTCATTCGCGTTAGGATTATAAATAATTGGATGATGCTGATAGACAGAGAGTCATTGCACACTCTTGGGACTTAGTTGTGTTACTACCAAACACCTCCGAGCTGGTATTGTTGTGTGAGAACTGAGGATCAAAAATTTCTTAAACGCATTTGGTAGCATCTAGTTGAGGTACAAACAACTAGAGGCTTTGATAGGCGATTAAAGCAAGAGTTAACATAACTCTTTATATTGCTATCATATCATTTTAGTTCCTATTTGCATCATCATTGTCCAATCCAAATTCTTCTTTAAATTTTACTTAAAACATAGTTGTTCTTGTAAAACGTTAGTCCTATCTAGTTGTTGTCGAACTGATTGACTTGAAAAATGTCAACAAAAAATGTTATCTTTGTCACAACACTTTTGTAATGTTTATTACATTTACTAGCCGACCCCTGTTATAATTATCAAATCCTGAGTGATGCCAATAGAAAGAGCAGTTACGCTCAGTCAAAATCTGATGTCTAATGAAATTACATAAAGTTAATGTAATAATAGTGACTCAGTATTTTGAAACGTTGAACCAATTTCCAGACACACAGTAAGTAGAATTCAATGGTTTAGCCTGCGTAACCGTGTGCTAAATGTGTCCGATTCGACCAGAATTCATTTGAAATTAATGGTCGCTTACATCTTACGCTTATTTTGAATCCAAGTTAAAGATCTTTAAGCAATGGCTTTAAAGTGTCCCTATACAGCTTATTTAACTAAGAGCATGGGTACTTCATTCATTCAAGATGAAATTTGTTAAAATAATTTTGTAAAGGTAATCACGCGTTTCCAGTGCAATTTGGTATAAAACTGACAGAACGAAACAACCTTGTACACTGTTCAAGTACATCACCAACAGTTTTTTCACAGAAATGTTAGATTTGAAATCAAAATCACAGTTTCTCACTATGAAATTTTCCTTTTTTTATTCCGCAAAAATATTCAAAGGATCCTATGAAAAATAATAAGCGCAGGAAAGAAACCCACAAAGGCCACTGCCTGATATTTCAAGGCAGATATGATATTTCTTTTCTAAGAGTAGTCTTCGAATCATTTGATGTTCATTTGTCTCTAACTCATAAGAAGAGACCTCAACACAAAGCGAATGAGGCAAAACAAGGCGAGTTTATTAACAACATATCAAACTATCCAAAAACCATTGGTGCTCTTTTCATAGGAAAGTGATATGAACTGGTTCACTTTGCGACTCAGCTTCTTGAATGGTATAAATAGAAGGGCATCGCATATGTAATCTCATCATTTAACAAAAACTGTGTATCTCTTTGTTAATACATTTAACTTACACGGAAATTTTTAGGGCAGTGTAGTCCACTTGCCAGAGAAGGTTCTCGATACCACTCATTTGATGAAAGGGTATGTAAAAGAATCTTCAAACTCACTTGATAGCAATCGCGAAAGAGTAGCTTTCTCCTTTTTTTTAGTGGACTTAATATCAGTAACCAAGGAAAAATGACAACAACAACAACAACAACAACAACAAAGAAATGTTCGGACAAATGCATGAAAAAAGAACCCAATGAAGTAAAAACAGAGCAATCAATCAAAACTGGTTTTAACTTTACACCACAAAGATTCAGTAACAAATGGAGAAAGTTATTAATAAATATCGTAACGTAAGGATCAGAAAAAGGAAAGTAAGGTACATTTTTTACAACTAACTAAATATTGTACATCTTTCTTGGTTATATTGCAAGAAATGTTCACAAATAATGTAAGAATTCAATTGTCAATTATTATTAAATAAATAGTAAGGGGAATGTTCTCCATAAAAGAACAAAGGGATAAATTATTATTATCTATAGGGGCTAAGAATAGTAATGGATACCTCTTGCGTTACTGTACATAAAATACTTTGAGAAAAACCCATCTTCACATGACGCTGGTGAATGAAGAGTTACCAATAAAATATGTAAACGTACTGAGCGGTCAACTTTGCACCTTAACAAATTTTTTATTTTTTTAATAAAACCACGTGCTGAAATTTTGCCCATCGTCTTCCATTGCTGGATTGCGTTGTTTTCCCTTACCATACCTTAAAATACCGATTACTTTTTCTACTGCACACCTTTTCTTTGTTGAATTGCCAATCAGTTGGCATTCTAGACCCAGAGATTGTCTTGAGCTTTACTTTGGGCCTTACTAGTGAAATGAGAGTGACTTTGCTCTAGGCTGAGAGGTCATTACCTTCTATTAAAATCCAAGACACCTGACATCTCCAAAAATGTTAATAAGTGAAAAAAAAGTGACTATTGCACTTAGGTAACCTGGCGCAAACCACCAAAACTTTCCCCAACATAATCTCAAAGATAACGCAACACAATCAGTTACTCGCCAAACATAAGATTATCGATTTGTTTAGAATTAATCAGCGCACGAGGACGAATAGGGAAAGGCTATCGGGCATCAAGTGAACTAACATCCGATAACATCTCGAACTGTGAACAGGACCCTGAGAGTGACGCTAAATGAGTACGCTTCAAACTTCGAGTCTCTTGACTGAGACAAACACCATGTCTCAGACGCTTTTTTCGAAATAGTTTCACAATTCTTTTATTAATTTTTTTTCGAATTTCTGTAGTTCTTAGCATTAGAAACAAAACAAGAATGTAAATATTGCAAAGAAAAGCCCATCCGTGGAAAAGCGCCAGCGTTTGACTGAGAGGTTTGAAATTTCAGAATTTAAACCACCTGTTCATGGTCTAAAATTCAAATTCGGTTAAAAGATTCCTTAGGACTAGAGGATATTAGGATCACACAGTTCTAACTCAATTTGGTCATCTCAAATAAAATTTTGTTCAAAAGTTCTCTTTTATAGTTCGGCCACGATGTTAAAAAGAGTGAGCAACCCCGCGTAAAAGAAAAAAAAAAGAAGCAACCCAGAAAGAGCGACACTCTATTAGTATAAAAGTTTTGTATTGAAATGATGGTCATTAATAGCTTTTAGGACCTGTCAAGTCTCTCATTTTAAAACAACATATAAGATACAATATCATATTGTGGTGACCAAAGGGTTGGAATACACGCGAGAAATCCTTCAGTGCTGTAATTTGGGAGCAGCTAATATCATAAATTTAAGTAACGTAAAGATAAAAAGAACTTGAACTGACACACGTTAGATGACAAAAAAAACCTGTCGCATTTGCAGCGTCATTGACTTAAATGAACTTCACAGTCGCCCAATTGTTAGTGTCAGGTTGAGTAATAAATTGTTCAAATTTTTCTGGAATTACGTAAGTTTGTTTGCATTTCCGTTAAATATTTCTACAATTTACTTGGCCTGATCCTAAACTTAAATTCGAATTGTAGCTTCATCTCTGCACTCAAGTTTTATGTCGTTCTCGAATAGTGGAATCTTGTTTACTCTGAACAAATTAACTGCATCCCACATCATCAATATTTGCTCTGCTTGGAACGGACAATTTGACGTTCCTCAAGGTTAATTATGTTTTCCTTAGCTTATGGATGGGTTTCTTTAGTTAGGCAATGGATAATGAAAAGATGACAGGGATGTGTTATGAAAATACTCCTAAGAGCTGATTTGAAAGTAGCTTTCGTATGTTTGTGGTTAAAAATTAACCAAACCTTTATTCGTGCCTAAAAGCTAATAATTTGTACCGATTAGCTTTCATTTAAAATTAATGAAACAAATATCCTCGCCATTGGTTAGCAAACATCGCAAACAGAACGATTATAATATTTTAACTTCCGGCCCGAATCTTGTTGAATTCAATACTTGAGAGGAGCGAAAACAGAAAACATGAAGTTCTTCTTCAATGTTAATTATTGGACTTTGGCTTAAAGCAAACGGTTGGTATCGTAATCATAGTCATAATACCTTCATGAAAGACAGCATTTTTAACTCGGTAGCAATCAAGTGGTTGAGGACCGCATTTCGTATATTTATCAGCTCTAGAGTTACGTAGAATAAGTTTGACTAAAATCCCAAAATAGGGTTTGGTAAATATTTGAGGGAAAACTAACTACGGCTACCTTTTAGGATTTAGTTTTCAGATATCACCTATGAATGCCATCCATAGAAGGTCTGTGTATTTGTTTTAACACGATGGTGGTCGAATTCTACTTTGTTTCTACTTTCCCTCGACAGTTTTGAGGTTTTGCGGTGCTTTGGAAAAGATTAAACGGAAAAAAAAATTGTAGCAAATGTCGTGCGGGAACTTACTTTATTCTCTATGTATAGAGGGCTGAAGTAGTCTCTAAGACTGCCATTAACAATTAAAACAAACAATTGATAGCGTTCATATAAGTTTCGGCTAGAACTGAAACATGAGGCTCGTTTTGGATAAATGATTCGAAACAACTTTTCTCTTAACCTGATGATAACTGAGTCAAAAAATTTTTTTTTTTTGAATAAATAGTAAGAGAATAAATTTCAAATTGCTTGACCAATCATACTTCGTTTCTACTTTAAGAAGTGGAATCTTCAGGAATTAATTATTTTTAAGTCACACAGGTGTTCTTATCTCGGACTCAAGTTTCAATGCACGAAGGCTATGAGTAACAAAGCTACCTGGCAATAATTTGACGCAAAGTGCGGATGTAATTTCTGGAGGGCTCTTCTTAAGTATGTCGACACATCATTCTGAAATGTTTGAGGGCGCTCGTTTTTGAGCAGAGGTGAATTATATATCTTTTAGGCTTAAAAGCTTTTGAGAGCTGATAACCAAGTCTCCCTGACGTTAATGAGTGTGGGTCTCTAAGGAATAATTGCGTGTTTATCATTCGCTATTCCTTTTCAAGGTAAGTGAAATTCTCTGTTATCATGAAGATGAGAAATAAGGTTATTTTCTGTGCTAATAAAACAAAAAAAAAATGAACGTGCTTCATCCGTGTGTTGATACATTAAAGAAAAAATTGAAAGCGTTTGAGCTCAAACATATGATACAAAATATTTTACTGCGGAATTCATAGAAGCAAGCACTCATCTTTTACCAACACAACCTACGACAAGACAATTTTTTTTCGCTAAAGAACAAATTAATGATTCGTGTAAACGGTACAGAAATCATGTAAAGAGTTCTTCCGTGTACAAGGTTAAAAATAAAATCGAGACCAAAGATTTGCCGCAATTTGACTGGCCTTTTTCAATTAAAAAGCCTCAATTCAATGGACGAATTCACAAAGCAAGTTCAACCCTCATATCTTCCCTCTTAAACTGATATGAAAGAAGGAATCGAATCATTTCGTTCAAACCGAATCTTTCGAGTGAAAGTTCTGCCTCGTTGTTTAACAAGGGTTGTGGAAAATTGCAAGCACAGTAAGGTAAGGTAAGGAAAAACACGAGTCTTATTTAACTTTTGTTTTCTTACCAAATTGCCATAGCTTTAATATTCTCCCCCATAAATCGAATAGTCACGAAATGTTTTGTTGTCATAACAACATGGATCAAGACATTTCAACAAATATTTGGATGCTTGCCTCACTCGTTTCATTTTCATCTGTTAGTCGTGAGGCCGATCAACATCTCAGCCGCGATTCTGTCTAAGAAACAACCTTTACAATTCCCAAATAACTGCAAAAGATGTAATAGTTGCCGATATCGAAGAAGCGGATGAACAAAGGTGTAACGACTCAGACAGTAAAACATTTAATAGACGTGTTGTTGACTTGCAGCCGACTCAGAATGGATTTCTTCGTTTCTCTTTCGTTTGTTCGTCTCTCCGTCTTTTTTTAGAGCATTTTTGTTTGTCTACTTGTTTGGTTTGGTTTGCGTTAAATCCATGGGCCAGAAAAAAACGTTCAAAGCATATTCCTAAATAATATACACTTTCCAATTTCAGCATTGGTGACGATGGCGTGGAATTCAAGCTTCCTCATCCTATTGGCCTGTTTGTATCTCATGAACCTCGCTATTGCTAAGAATCCGTGCAAGACAGAAGTTAACGTACCTGGAATGGCTCTCAAAGGCTTCGTCTTTAAAAAGGTCCCAGTATCAGCTCCTCATGTGTGCGATATCACCTGCGAGAGAGAAACGATATGTCAAAGCTACAATTACGTAATTGGGGAAAAGTACTGTGAATTAAACACCCGAACCAAGGAAGCAAGGCCCGAGAATTTCCAGCCAGATGATTTACGCTTTTACATGGGACGCATTAGTGGTAGAAGTATGTATCCGGTTTAGTTTATTTTAAATACAAATCTTTCTCAATGAGTTCTTAGTAAAAACCTGCCACTTTCCGAGAGCAAATGTCTGATTGCATTGTTATTAAATACGTTAATATCAGCTAAAATTCACAGATCTTTATTATTATTATAATTCCGTGTTTACCTTGCCCGAACAAATATATTTTCAACTCTTATCTGTTTTGAAACTTCTATTAACCTTAAACTATATATTAATGAAGTCATGTCTACATCATAGCCGCCTTGGGATCTATTCCTGAATTACCAGCGTTATCGTGCCAGGAGATAAAATTAAGTGAAGGTAAAGACAGCATCAGTAAAAGGTATTGGTTGGATCCAGCTAATGCCGGAAGTTCAAAGTTGGTTTACTGCGACATGATTTTGGAAGGTAAGTCAGTATACCAAGAACAGAATTTACACAGTGTTTGGTCTGCCTCTGCCCTGGCCTTTTGTGAAATGTTTTCTCTCCGTCTCAGTGATTTAATCGATTACTTTCCAATTAGACATTGATGAATGCAAAGGCACCAATAACATTTGTGACCAAAATGCAGACTGCTCCAATACTGTTGGGTTTTATAATTGCACGTGAGATTTACTGGGGATGGACACTCGTGCTCAGGTAAAATAGTTACAGACATGCCGAGGTACAATATTTAATTCTTTTTCGCCTAAAAGCTCTGTACATTTGAGCTATCTACAATCGAGTAATTAAGTGAATAATAGACCGATAATAGCTTGCATGCTATATCAGAGAAGCCTTAGCATTAAACAAAGCAATTTTAGCAGGAACTATTGTCACACTAGTGGTAAGTTTTGCTTTTTAAGCAGCATTACCCATACATGTTTATGCACGGAGTTGCCATGATCTACATCATGTTTGGAGATGTAAAAGAAAAAACATTGGAGAAGAGAATATAATTACTTTAGTGGCAAACACGTATTTAATTCATTAGAATGATAATTCTCATTAGACATCGCCTGTCATCGCAGAGAGTTGCCCGAAGGAAAAAACAGGCCGTATACACTTTAATACAACTGAAAGACTGTACTTAAGTTAAAGACTGTACCTAAGTTATTTCCTTGAGATTTGTAGTTAAGTTTGTGGCAAGAAAGAAATCGATTAAAACACCACAGCATGACAAATAAATTCAACTGTCTCCTTTATCTAATCAAAGAATCATCATTGTAACGCAATGATCTTTGTTCACACGGTTTTCTCCAGCTTGTATCTGATAAGTTTTCTGCCTCGGAACAAAAATACCTCAGAACGTACTTAATATGACCGGTAGTTTTTTTGACTGAGTGAAATTATAGATATGCGGAAACGATTTCCATAGGTTTTCTTTTGTAAGAAAATTATTTTCGTCCGCTTCTGATCAATCTAGCCGCCAATGTTTACATAAGATGAAAATCGATAAGATTTTACGTATTCCTATTGACTAGCTTTGCAATTTGTCCATGCAATGAAAAAGAAACACAGCTGGGTTTTCACCATGGTATGCCATACGCATACCACGGAAAAAGGGAAAATTCCTAGCTGCGAGCGACCAGGGGCAGAGGGAATTTCCATCTTCAGAGGTCGAAAAAATCGATTTTGCTTTATTTCACTAGACTGAATTCAAACATTCAACATAATGTTTCCATAAAATAATTCCGAAATCTTGAAAAACAACCGATTTATTTCGAAAAATGTATTTTTAAATGAAAGTTAATAAATTAGGAAGGTGTCATAATCTCGGACCTGGGCGCATCCCCTGGGCGAGTTTCGCGGCAACCGCTCACGTTGAGGCTCGATTTTCATTTAAATGTAATTCCATATCTTGTTTACATCGCGCACTTTAAAAAAGTCACTCGTAGAAGCTCTTTGCTTGTGGAAAAATCTTTGCTGACGGAAAAATCAAGAGCGGAAAAAACTCCTTGGTAAAAAAAAAAAAGAAAAAAGAAAAAAAAGGCCCAAAGAAGAAAGAAAGAGTACCATTCTGTAAAGAAAAGAAAAAATTTCCTTTGTAAATGAGACTTGTAATGTTGGAGCTCCACGCTGGCGTCCATATTTCGAACAAAGAAGTCGCCGTCCAACCAAACTTTGCCATACACAATGTTAAAAACGAGGTTTCCTTTTCTTTATTGAAGCCTGGATACAAAGACATCAACAATCACCTCGAATCGTAATTTTAAAAGCTGTCTGTCGATTTGTTGTCTTGCTCCTCAGCACATTTTCCGGCTTCTCCATGTTTGCCGCGGGCTTTTCTTTGCTTTGGCAACTTTGCTCCTTATTGTGTCGCCCTCCTCAACGCTCCACCGAGCGATTGAGAATCTTGATCCATCGTCATTGACGCCAGGAGGTGCATTTGTCCCATTGCTTGCGGTTTCAGGAGACGAGATAATCTCCTGGCGTGGGGAGATGTTGTTTGCGAACCTCTATGAGCTAAAATCTCGAATTTGATTTTAGGAGGAATATGACAAATTTGAGGGAATTTATTGGGAACATAGATTTGTCCGATTTTCGTCAAATTTCACCAAAACATTCAAGGAATAATGATAACGGATGTATAAACGGTTGTGAATATATGGAAGTCATATATTTGAACTGCGGTTAAAGACGTGAATATGAAAGCGATCTATCACTTCTTTTCACTACTACTTCAGTAGTGTTCATTACTGCGAAGATCGCTTTCATATTCACGTCTTTAACCGCAGTTCAAATATATGACTTCCATATATTAACAACCGTTTATTCACCACTTCGCGGGTTTATTTGGAACCAACACAGTGAACAACTTCCAGTCGGCTTGTTAGCTCAGTTGGTGGAGCACTGCACCGGTATCGCAGAGGTCATGGGTTCAAATCCCGTACAGGCCTGATTTTTTTTCAGGCCTTCTTTTCACTACTTTTTAAGTAGTGTTCAGTACTGCGAAGATCGCTTTCATATTCATGACAACGGATGTGTCGGGAAATCGTGATATTTGAAATATTTGTCCCATGGCGTCCATTTACGCAACACGCCTCACATATTTTTAGCTACTCCAACTGTAGATGCCGATGATCATGTCTAAAAGTACACCCCGAGTGACCACGCGTGACCACGCGTGACCACGAGTCACCACGAGTCACCACGAGTGAAAAAGCGAAAAAAAAATCAATCATTAACTAAAATAAAAATAATTGATTAGCTAAGAAAAATATTAAGGTGAATTTTATGGGAAATGCTAAAGGAAAAAGAACTATAGGGCTGACCGACATTCCGCAAAGGAAACTACTTTGCGGTTCTGACGACTATCGACTCAAGTGAATCAAGTTCATCCCCTGACACTTGATCTATGGGGAGTGTATCATATGTCTGTTCGTCTCACATGTTACTGGTGAAGATGGCGTTCTTGAGAGGGAAGTAATTGTTAAAGGTAAGCCAAATTTGGTGTTGTTGGTTTAAGGATGAATTTATAATCATTGGGAATTTTCTGAGATAATGCACTTATCAGCGGCCATCCCGTGGGGTTGACCCCGGAGAACCCCCGGGCATTTGCACCAAGACATCTGCAAATTCCACCTATCCAGGGCCAATATTCCTCCACAAAGAGCTTCTACTGTCCCTCCCCCGGAGAGATAATTTGAAAGGAATTCCAAATTGTAACGTAATTTCCTACATAATTTTTAATAAAAAAATTGTAAAAGTTTAGTTAGCAAAATATGAATAATTCAAACAGATGGCAATATAAATATTCAACACCTAATCATTAAAAGACTAGCATGGAAGAGATCATAGATTCTTGCGAAAAATGTTTTCGCTATGTTAGGGAAGGATGACTAACAAAAGGGGACAGATTTACGAGAGAAACGTAAGACACGCTTACCTTTTTCTCCGTCGCCAGTTTGGAAGCCGTTCAACGGTAATACCCAGTCCCCGCGGTCCGGATCTTTCATTTTCAAGATAGCGGCGATGTTACAAATCCCGCGGGTCTTTCCCCGTGTATCTTGCCTCGGAAGTGCAAAAGCGATCTAATGCCCGCGTCCCGGGCCAAAGATTGGCGACAAAAGTCAGCAAATCCCGCGCTATTCCCCCAGTATGTCCCCGGGGTTAACCCCCCGGGATGGCCGCTGATAAGTGCATAAGATGCATCATTCCTCTAACTTAGGACATGCTACATGATTATCGGCTGTAAATTTGAGCGGTGATTTGAGAAATTATCTTGTTCATCGACACAAAATGTTGAGTAAACTAGGTTGAATAATTTTGCGCGATACCCGCGAGCAAATGTGTGTAATGGTCATGCAAAACTAATTTAATTAATAGATCCTTAAAACATTTTCAAAGTCATTTATTACGGCAAAACGATTCGATTGCGTTACTTCAGTCGACAGCTTAAAGGTCAAACTATGAATGAAGCGTGGACGACTAGACTTATTACTAGACTTATTACAGATTACAAGGAAAAAATCACACTCGAACTTAACAGAAATTTAGATTTTGCTATGAGCTTTCATAAAAAACTTTCAATAAAATCACATTTATTTCACTTTTATTCGGGGTTTTTAATGAATGAGGGCTACAGTTCTTTTTCCTTTAATACTTCCCTTAAATTCACTGAGATATTTTTCTAATTATTATTTTATTTTAGTTAATGATTAATAAATTTTACTAGTCACGCAATCAAACGCCGGCAACACTCGATCGAGAGAGATGTGGATTTATATGTGTCATAAAATGCTTTAAAAAAATACGGTATTTTACGAGAGAAGGAAGCAAATAATCATAGAGATCTGCAGATTATTCTGAAGTTTTTATCTAGCAGACAGCATGAACAACGCACTTGAGTAATTCCTACGGAAAGTCTACGGGTCACGCAACAGTTAGTTTGGCGGAGTTCTGCATGGAAATGTTCGATGGCGGTAATAAGGATGTAATAATATGTGTGCAAACCCTCAGAGTAATTGGTTAAATACCATGGCAGTGAAAGCTTCATACATTTTACCTATTTTGAAGCGATTTCCCTAGTAAAAACCAAGAAAAACCGAGGGGGAGGGGGTTGTCTATCTCTCCCCGGAAAAACCAAAACAGAAACCAATTTGTCTTTTTGAGTTTTGGGGTAGATCCTTTAAACTGGCCAAATTTCACTGAAATCGATGAGACGGTATGTAGCACGACTGCCTGGTGCTCTCGTGGACACACTTAAGCTTTGTTTTGAATGGGGTATAACCTTGTTCCTGGCTAGTGATACATTTCTTTAAGCAAAATGAGGTGAAAATATCCACCAAAAGATAGCAGACTAGCCCGCAGTTTTTTTCCGGTTAGGCTCTAATTAACTGCTCTGAAAGCCACGTAATATTTT